ATTATAAAATATTATATTTTATATTCACATATACATTTATATATTAAATTGAACAATTATGTTATAACTACATCAATTATTCATATACTTAAACCATTGTAGTGCAATATACATAACATTGCACTATAATATACAGGAAATTCTTAAATAAGGAGCACAATTTCCGGCTTATCTTATTTGTTACATTTATCATTAATTTGACAAGAAATGTATTAGAATAATATATATTTGAAAACATTATAATATATGTTTGAAAGAATCATAAACATTGATACTATTAGGATTCATTTGAGTTGATTCTTTTTTAATTGATACTATTAGGATACATTTGAGTTGATTCTTTTTTAATAATTGCATTTTGCACGTATGATATCGAATTCAAGTGCAAGTTCTTAGTATTTTTTAATTTGTCGATGAAATTTATGATAATATAACATCATAATATTATACATCTGTCTGTTGTGCAATAAATATTATTATGTGCTCTAATTAGATAATAACTGGTATCATGGATAATTGACTAAAATTATTGCAAAAGAAAATGTAAAGATAAGATATTATCAATAGTTAATAATTTATTGAATTATTAGATCAAACATACAATAATTGTATCTGCGATGTAATTGATCAATTATATGAAATATTAATAGTTATGGCGATGTCATCCGTAGAAAGTACTTTTTTATGTAAGTTAATAATATATTAAGACAAATTATATTGATTCTATTTTCTCCAATGGGGTTCATTCTGGGAATAACTGAAGTCTTCCACAAACGAGTATACCGATAATTGCTCGAGCAAACGTAACAAAATTATCTTATCATGATAATAGCCGACCTTCGACTTCGAAAGGAAAAATGTAAACGGGAGATTGTGTTAGCAAGAAACCGACGATATGTAAAAATAGAAGTACAAATTTTGCATACAAAGCAAAATTATGCATTTTACAGCTCAGATATTTATATTAAAAAATAATCTATATAAAAGAATAATTTTTTTCTGCTTTGAAATGCATTTAATCGTAATTATTAAAAATATTATAATATCATATAGCATATAAAATACATATATAAAAGTATTTAAAAAAATAGATGCGGTAATGTAGAGGATTTATGTAAAAATGGAAAAATTAAATAATACAGGGAATTATAAGAAAAACAATTTATTCGATCAATATTCTCTTCATCAATAATAAACATATTTTTGGTTTTACCGATTAACACGAATCGCTCACTCGTGCTCGCAAAATCTCTCTTATCACTATCGTATTCTCTTACTTTTTTCTCTTTCTCTTTCAGACATATTTACGCGCGCATTTTCCATGCTAATATGGACATCTACACAAACATGTTAAAAGATTTCTACTTACTGATCTATCGATCACGATATCTACATATAAGTTTATATAATCTTAATACATACAGCACAAAATTGCTCAACCCGCGAGTTTAGTGTTGAACACGTGTCGCACTACAATATTCGCTAATTAATTATCCCGAGAAGACAATGTCTCTGCTCGTCGGTCCGTAATCTTCATCGCGAAACCTTCATTGGAAATACATTATATCGTTAACGATACGTCATAATCAGACGATTAATCTAAACGCACATAACTAGCTAATTCTAATGGTATGTTACAATCGAGGGACCAGGATCTCTGATAAGTTACGAGTTTTCGCGAATTATCTCGTCGTTTTATGGCTGACGATATAACTCGTTTCTGTTTTGTAGATTTTACAGAAAAGAAAACTCGATTACGCTATCAATCGATCAGGTCCGGCTTATGTTTATCTTTGGTCCTCTAGCCGCTATGATTGCCGGATATGCGAATTTCGTGCGAAAATTTTATCTTTGTCGCTTTTCGCGATTTTTTTTTCTATTGTTCACACAGAGACGGATAATCTTTTGGAGATTTTTGAGAAATCGAATATATCTATTTGCACATAAAACTTTCGCAAGAGCTTAAAACTTATTCCATTGTCCGAAATTATGTATTTCATTTCGTACATGGATCTCCAATCATATATTGTAACATCGATTTTGTTTTTCTGTGCAGATAAAGTATAGCGTGCTTTTCATTGAGCTACATATTTCGCTTCCTCTCACTTTCTTTAGCGTTAATACAAAAATAATCGCTTCCACTCATACTTTTCTTTCACAGCAATGACTTCCCCCTTCGGAAGTATACTTTGATTTTTGATTAAATGTCGGTAAAAAGTATGTCCGTCAAGCTAATATATTCATATACATATACCAATAATTACAAAAATATAATAAGTGCAAAAGCAAGACATGAAGATATTAGATTCACAAGTAATGTTTAATACAGTTTGAAAAATATTTGATTAAATTAATAATAACATTATTAATTAATAATATTGATTAATAATTTGACATAGAATATCATTGTTTTTCTCTTATTTTTCTCTCTATTTCTTCTCTTTCTAAATGATTTTTTCTGAATAATTTACGATTAAAAAACGTGGATGTGTGTGTGTGTGTGTGTGTGTGTGTGTGTGTGTGTGTGTGTGTGTGTGTATTGAAAACTTTGGCTTCGATGGACTATGATACATAATAGACAAATAGGATTCATAATTAACTCAAAAAAGAAAGAGAAAAATAGAACAAGATCTATAGTAGTATATTTTGTTTATATTTTGTCACATTAAAATCAGATATACTTTTCGATTGTAGATTAAAAATACACATAAAAAAATAGATTTGCAACAATTATAATTGATAATGTCAAATCAACTATTTTTCACTTTATTAATTGTTTCATGTGTTTTATGTTGATTCTTTCCTCTTGTCATTGCCAAAATTTCTAAATTTATTAAAACCGCACCTAATGCAATTTGTATTAAAGCTGATATAATTAATCGTTGATATTAGAATTTTTTATTTTAAAAGTAAAATGTTCATAAAATTTGTAAAATACGTAAAAAAATGCATATAAATTAAAAGAATATTAAAAATAATTACTGTTATAGAGTTTAATACATCAAATATACGAGCTATTTACGTTTTTAAACGTAACTGCTTTAATATACAGTGATATTCAATAAATATGAAATATAATGACACATCGAAAGAAAGGCACATTCAGGTATTATTAATATCGCACTTTACTTTAGCGTAATCTCACGTCGAGTGAATTGAATTTTTTCGTAACGATAAAAGAAATTAGTAATGCAAAAAAAATTTTCTTCCATTTCGATTTTATATTTTTTAATATACCGAGATAATTGTACACTTTAATATAATAAATATTATTTATTACTATTGAATAATTTTTATATAGTATGCACAAAAAGATTTCAAAAATATTTTTGCGAAATAATTTTCAATTAATGTAAATCTTATATAATAAATTTATTATTTGGAATTAAAAATCATCTATTGATAGACATTACTTTTGATAAAGACTGTGCAATTATTTTTGTGAAAAATAATAAATAATAAAATTGCAAAAGCGGTAATATACAAATACGCATATATACAATATGCATATATGCGATATCTTGCAGAGACAAGAAATATAATACATATGTGTGCGTTCAGAGATATATACACAGTATTCTTTGTTTATCCTAAATTTCAGAGATGCCTTAATAAATTTGAAATATTTTGGTTTAATTATAAAAATTCGAATTGCATCAGAAATATTTACTATCAAGGCACTGTATATGTAGATTTTGATTAAACGTAACGAGAGAGAGATTGTTAGATTGACTGATTTATACAAATATCCGCACAGTGTGTGTGTGTGTGATCGTGTGCTTTATACGCCATAATTATATATCCGAAGAAAAGATATCGGTGGTGATTTCAATGAAAAATATTTACAATTCTGTTTCTCTCACCTGAGAATAAGCGAGATTGGCTTGTAGAGAGATAGTGACCTTCAATGTGGCAGACGATCCTGAATTACCGTACACCTTGAATCTGTATCGTGTAATCATGCGTACAGTTGCGGCTGTGTGTATTTACATGTTATCGTTTTTCGCGATAAGACAAACCTATGTCAGCTTCATGATATGTTGGTTTCTTTCGTTTCGTTCTCTCAAAATGTATCCTATTTTGATGTGTGCGTGTGAAAAAGATTCTCGCTATTTTTATAAATTATCTCAATGTCTGTATATCATGTTCGATTTTGATACATCTTTCAAGATATTACAACACGCTAGAGTTTGCTAGAGTTGCTAGAGTTATAACTATTGAAATACAGTTCGTTAATATTTAAACTATTGATAAAACAAAAGGAATAATGCGAGATTAATATTGCGTCTTAAGAAATTTATATTTGGTCTGATGAATATAATAATATGACATTTTGACATACATGATATTTTGACAGATAACAATGATATTTTGACATATCACGTGTGTTGTCTGAAGAAAGTAATCGGTATTTAACGTTACATATGTAATGAGGCCACAAAGTAAACGTAGAATTACTATAACAAGAGCGAAGTATTACGTTTTAAAGCGATTCCCATTGATACACGTGACCACGTGTCAGTCATTCATCGATGTACATACATACAATGTGCGCGCAGCATTTCAATATATTAATCGCGGATGCATACGTGTCTTCACGTTACTTCGAAACGATGCACTTATGATGGGATTCGTTGATCGCAACGAGTAAGAGCCATCTCCAATAATCCGCTTCGACGTATCGTGCATCGTGATGTATATTATCACAATATCACAACAGTATCATCTGGACCAATGATGATCAGTAATACGCATACAATTACAATTAGTCACGAAAGTTGAAAATGAACTGATCATTAATGTATTTCTGGGATTTTGATTTTAAAATTATATATATTTATTTTTTATTAAATATAAAATATAAATATAATATAAAATTATATATATTTATATTTTATTAAATATATATAATATTGATGAAATAATAAAAATCCTTTTTTATGAAATTTATTTCTTTTTTTACATTTGAGAAGGATTTTTAAAAATTAAATCTCTTTGGTGACTAACATAAGTGTACACGCATATTTGTTTTCGACGTATACTGTGAGGTATTCACGACGTAAAGCGAAGTTGAACATATTAGCGAGAATAAAATTGATTATTTCCATTTTCCACCGAACGTTTATAGCAGCAGAATCTTCTTTCCCCGAGATGTTATGAGAAGTTATCATTGTAAATTCAATCTTTTATCTTACTCGCGTATTAAAAGTTTTAATTTAAAACACGCTCGTGTTACGTCCACCGATGCACTCGAGATACATTAGTCCTTCCAACGAAACGTCGGATTAAATCTACGCATGAAATCTCGCTTCTCCGGCGACCGATCTCACACAACACGTATTTACCTTCGATGGGCCACGACGCGATGATGCTGATACGTAGCGTGAGGGCGAGGGGGACGAGGGGGATGATCCGGTTCGAGGCACCGCCGCGTTCACGGATGAGACGTTCGTCTGTCAGGTGAAGGAGTCTCAGCTGCTGCCGGGTACGGATATCATACGATAAGCCGTTGAATGCGGCGGTACCGGTGACGAACGCCGGTTGCTGCCATTCGGCTGCTGCTGAGGCGGTATCTGCAGAGAGCGATAATCGAGCGCCGGCGCCGCTGGATGCTGACCCTCCCGGTGCCTTCGCAGATCGACCTTTCTCTGAAACGCCTTGTCGCACAGACCGCATTGAAACGGCTTGTAGCCGGTGTGCTTACGCATGTGCGTGATCAGGTTGCTGCTCTGGGAGAACGCCTTGCCGCACACCACGCACTTGTGCGGTTTCTCACCTGTAACACGAAATCCAAGGAGACATCCGGGTCAGTGCGCTGTGCATTGCATTTCTCAGTATTTTAATTTGGGATATATATGTATAATTATTTAAAAAATACTATGTATTTTTTAAATATAATTTTTGAGAGAGGGAAGGAGCGTATCTCGTAACTGTAAAAAGATCTAAAATAGTACTACTTATATGCATCAATAAATTTCACACGTTAATTTTCTGAAAATAAAATTGTTGCTAAATATTTAATAATAAAATTGTTACTAAATATTTAATAAATATTATTTTAATATATTTATTACTTTAAATATATTTTCTAAAATAAAATTGCTGTTAATATATTATTAATAAATAGAGATATATACGTATAATTTTTTTAAAAAGTACCGTTGTAATTTTTAATATAATTTTCGAAAGAGAAAGCGCATCTCATAATTCTAAAGAGACCTAAAATACTATGTATGATAGAATTTACATAGTTAATTTTCTAAAATAAAATTGCTATTAAATATATTACTTGAATATATTTTATGTATTAATTTTCTAAAATAAAATTATTATTATATATATCAAATATATTACTTTAATATATTTTATATATTAATTTTGAAATAAAATTGCTATTAAATATATATTATTTCAATATATATTTATTATTTTAAATATATTTTCTGAAATAAGATTGCTACTAATATATTATTAATAAATACATACATACATATAATATATTATTAAGTATATACTTAATACTTCTATTTATAGATTTAATTAATGCATAAAATAATTTTTTTAATCTACTTTAATGTATTGTTATTAATATATATAAAATTGAATGTACCATCAATTATATGAAATATTGTTATATTTCATCTAGTTATGAGCATTGTAGATCGATTTATTAAGCATTTGCATTGATTGTCACAATGCACTGTAATTCGTGGATGGCATAATAAATTCTGGTCAAACGAAAGACGTGGATTACGAATGCGCGCGTTGCAAATTCGATTATCATCGAAGAAGACAACAGTACGCAGTCTTGAATAATGAACCAAGGTTAACCAAACGCAACTGAATCAACCAATAAATCGTGACCAGTCGTGTGCGTGTCAATCGTCGGTGACTAAAGCCTTTGTGGTTGATCTCACCGAAGACTTACAATCAGATATAAACGTAATACCTTGTTCAACAATTCGCTCAAGCACAATGTGCAATTAGTAATTATTCTATATGTAACATAATCAATTAATAAAGCAATGTGATGATAAATAATAAAAGAATACATCTAACACAATCTTTAACAAAAATTAATAGAGGAAGTCAATAAAAAGAACCATGAAATGTCATGTACAGTGGAAGATAATCGATTGCCTGCTATATATGTCGGATATACTATAAATTGTGATTTTTTTTAAACAATCTATAAATAAAATTCCTCGCATGCAAATGTTAGCAACGATACGTTATAATAATAATCGCGCTATTAGAATTAATTATGAATTAATTATTTCATTAGTAAAAGCAGAAAATATCCGGTTAAATATGGTTTCGTTAGTAAAAGCGGAAAATGTCACGAGTGGCTATCATTTATTAACGTCAGCCGCATAATCTTGTACGTATCTTGCAATTTGCTCTCGCGATATCGTTACACGAGAAAAAAAATCAACAACTTCTCTTTTAATCGCTCTCGCGAATCTTGATGTTCAAGAACGATCATCCTGCACGCAGATCGCGGCCTCGTACTAGATAGCAATAATAATAATAATAATAATAATAATAATAATAATAATAATAATAATAATAATAATAATAAAGAGAGTGACCCCACACACACGCTTGTAAATTCTTGTCACGATCTTCTAAAAGTCCATCGTCGGTCGTATAACGACGATCGATCGACGGTGATAGTACCGAGCAAACAGCTGTTCTGTAGAGACGACGCTTCTCTTTCCCTCTCACTCGAAATTCCGAGCAAACAATTTTACGATTGTAAAGCGACGATAAAAGTGTACGGACGCCTTCGAATGTTGTAACGCGACGGAAGGCGCTGTTAAGATTCTATCGAAAAGAAATTAATTCTGCTCGCGGACACGTTGAGTGCGCGAGAGATATCTCTTTCCTTTCGTCTATTTCGAATGAGCGTGCGGAAAAAAGAATATTCAGGGATAGGGGTGAGAAAAAAAATGAACGAATTATTCGCATAAGTAGAAAATTTTTATAGTGTCATCGTGTGAAACTCGACGAGTAATTGCTGGATATTTAATGCTCATGGAAAGAGATAAGATCGGTGACGAAAACGGTTTGAATTTATGCTCGATTTAAATTGTAATGGCAGAAAAAGAAATGTCGAAAATGTTTTTATGAAATGATAACAACAACAAGTAACTTGTCATATGCTCTCTTTTATAAATTGAGATAAATTATTTTCAGCCAGTAGATATTCGCAGAAATTCGAAAATACCATAAATGTTCATAAATTATTAAAAAATTAATTGTTAAATATAATATTCTAATATGGGCGGATAGGATAACATTGCAATTATTTAAGCAATATTAAAAATCCTTCCAAAATCCTTAAAAAATTTCTTCCAAATTTTCAAAGAATATAATTATTTATTAAATGAAAAAAAATAGTTTAAGTTTTATTACTCTATATTTATATTTCAACAGTACTTGTAAATTTTAACTTTACATTAGCTCTTTATTAAAGAGAGCAAGATACGGTCTTTAATATAGAAATTATAATGTACGAATTTTTTTTATCATTCTACTTGTTATACAAGAAAAAAACAGATCGATTTCTTGTATTTTGTTCGAAATAAAGAAACTTTTCTTTCTTGATGTGATTCTGATTCTGATGAGCGATGATGTCAAAAATATTTCATAGATTATTAGAAAACTAATTGTAAAATATATTCTAAAATTTTAAAGAATGGTATAATATTAAAATTAGCATTTAAGCAACATTAAATGTTCATTTTTAAATTTTCGAAGAATATAATTCATTAAATATATATTATATAATATATATATTATAAAATATATATATATATTATAGAATATTATAGAATATATTAAATGAAAAAAAATAGTTTAAATTTTATTACTCTATTATATTTCAACAGTACTTGTAAATTTTAACTTTACATCATCTCTTTATTACGGGGAGTAAAGAGGTAAGATACGATCTTTAATATCGGGTATGAATTATCATTCTTCTTGTTACACAAAAGAAAGAGAGATCGATTTCTTGTATTTTGTCCGATATAAAGAAACTTTTTTTTCTTGATGCGGTTCTGACTCATCGGCAACCGTCGACGTATGTAAACGTTCTTTTCTTTAAATTAAATTTACCGACGTTTTATTTCGATATATTATCGTCAGAATTATTGTCCACAGCATGGATATGTACAATGGCGGAGTAGATGACAGTATTGCTTTGTTGAAGCAGGCACGCCGTTTCACTCTTACCATCCTTCACGACTACGCGAAGGAAAATACAATTATCGTAATTGTCCCACCTACGATTCAATTTTTATATCGTATTGCTTGACGCAGAGAAAAGTGCAATCATACCGCGTGCTCTAGAGCGAACGCATCAATATATGCTTCGTTTTTTATAATAAATTTTCTGTATCTTTAGCAATGAATAAGACAATTGTAAACTTATAAATATTGCAATGTAATTAATAACTAAATCAATTACATCTATGTATGCAATTGGAATTTTATTCAGTAGTCTATGCGATTGTTACGAATATTTTTTTACCGGCATTTTTTGCGAGAGAAAGAATGCGAAAAGTATACAACTATATAATTTAAAAAATTATTTATTATCGTTATTGAATTTCACGAATGGCAAAATAAGGGGATATACAAGGCTCATTAAGGAATCTATTAGAAGAATTTCGCACTCGCATAATTCGGAAGCTTCCATCATGACCCATATGATCTTGTTGTGACTTGGTGAACACTTTGCAGGATTAATACTAACAAAAGTTGACGGGAAAACGATAAAAGTACCATTACGAGGGTAAGGACCTTAGGCGCTTAAAACGAAATACAATCGTAATATTTAGTTAATTCATTCGAAGGAGGGACTAATATCAGATCGAAACGGCGATTAAATCACATTTGCTATCTTCGTCGACTCGGCCTTTCGAAACTAACGTAATGAAGCACATTTTTATATCGTCGGGTGGAAAGGGTGACTCGCGGAAAAAGAGGAGAAAAGTATGACAGGCCGATGTTTGCCTTAGACTTTTTAATTCCTCCGCGACGATATCATCTCTCTCGCACACAAACGCACGGAAAGAAAGGTACGATTCGCGCGGCTTATTCGCCGGACAATATTTATCGAGAGTGTCAGCGACCCATACGTACGTGCGTATACACCTCATCCTACGTACGCCTATCGATCCTCTCGACTCTCATTACCGGCCCCTTACCGGTCGACTTAAATATTTACCGGCTGAAACGTTTGCTTCGCGGCCGATTATAATGATAGGAGCGAATAGCGCGCCTCTGTGTACGTGTGTGTGTGTGTGAGCGCGTACGCATCCATGTGTTACGCACACAGTCGCGGAGCAAGTCCTCTTAATTATGCAGGTCTCTTTTAACGAACATGATGTAATAGCGGCGGTATCGACTATGATGACAGAGAAGAAAAGAAAGAGAGAGAGAGAAAGAGAGAGAGAGATGAAGAATCGATTTCGTGCGGATTTTTCGCGTTGGTGAAGCATTCGAGGCCCATTAAAGGTTCCTAATAATCTGACAATTTTAGATAAAGCCCCTAAATCCGTCTAAACTGTCTGTCTCAATTGCAATTTTCTTGATACGATAATTCCTCATATGAAATATGTTTTATTGTTAGTATAAAATAAAATATAAATAATATTATATAAATATTATATAAATATTATAATATATAAATGTTATATAAATATTATATAAATATTATAATATATAAATGTTATATAAATATTATATAAATATTACATAAATATT